TTCAACTGTTGTCAGAGCTACATGCTAAAAAGGATACATTTTTGAAACATAAGCACTATGTGTATAATCCTATACACACCCATTTTAGCACCTCACTGCTATTTTTATATGTAAAAGCATGCATACTGAAATGAAAAGTGGGTATTCACATCTGCCTTGACTTCCTGTTTTGCCTACATTTGAGTATGCGTATAAATTTGAGTACATTGAGTATAAATTTTCCTAGTAACAAAGTCAATTTCATAAACTTCCACTCAGCTCTCAGATGTAATACCAACCTTAAAATTCAGCACTGTAACACACTATAGCCTGATAGAGTTCAGTTCTGACAGGCCACTGGAAAAGAGAAGTTTGGTGGCAGTTACATACACTTCAGCCAGCAGAAAATCTGTCACTGCTCTCAGCTGCCTGCGTGATAAATGTTTTATGGTGGCCAAGTCCAAAGTACAGAGGCACCACAGACAAAGGGATAGTCTGAAGAGTCCTAGAAGCAAGCAAGAGCAGGTGTGCTCATGCTCACATAATTCCACTCTTCATAAAATAATCTACCAGGGTTATGGTTTTCAACAATCTTCAAAGATATATCCAGAGAGACAGCATAGTAACAGTACAACGTAGACACATGCCTCTATTAGTAAGAAAGCAGTATCTGTGTCTTCCTTTCTAGGATAACAGTCATAAAAGCCATTCGCACTACGAAATAATCCAAAAATGTCTTCTTTTGAAAGGGCAGAGAGTTGGCAGAGAAGTACCACAGCCTCCATCATTCATTCTCTGCCATGGATTTCTTTCTGCCAAGCAATGTCAGTTTTTTTTTTTTTTTTCCCACAGTAGCACTTTCTCCAGATGTTTTACTTTAAAGCATATCTGAACTAAAAAATATGGACATACAAATAATAACTTCAGCAAAATCTAATTGGGTTCAATAACACCAAAACCCAAAATACTTCAGACTGCTCCTACCCCCGCTCTATATAATTCTGTTACATTCTCTAATGTAATTCATTCTGTAGTGTAACCCTCAGCACAAAATGCAGACCAAGACAATAAATACTAGACAGCACTACTATCAAAACTTTTCTAAGTAGTTTTGCTACTCCACTAAAGAAAATTTCCTACTTTCCTTCTAAAGTAGATTCAATAGTACAGCATACGCCCCTATTCCAAAGATACCTGATTTAATCTTTACTGGAAAGGTACTCCCAAGAGATAATTAATTAAAATTATTCCTAATCTGGGTATCTCTATTCTGGTTCTGGTGACTGACCACCAATATTACACAGAGCACATGCAGTTTGATCTAAGTCTTTCGGGTTGCTCTTCTGGTTCAGATTCAGAAATCAATCTGTATGCTCCAAAACCATTTTGCAAAGCAAACCAAAGCATAGAAAACAATGAGTACTGAGACGTGTTCAAAAGCACACTCCTCATCCAAACTAAAAAGCAGATGCTCATTATGCCTCAGTGCACTGCCTCAATCACAGGACTGCCCTTCCTCTGATTAAATTGCTAGTTATTGACATTTATCAATAATGAACTCAAGCCTAACAGAAGGTTTGAAACATGTTAATAGCAAGTAACCAATCTGGAGTCTTATATTTACAAGTATGAGATGCAGTACATTTGTACCCTGTCATCACAAAATAGATAAGGAAGCAAACTGGTTTACATCATGCATCAACATTTCAAATTACTGAAAAAGGTTTTTCAAGTTGCTTGAAAAACAGTTGCTTGTCATGTGACAAGAATAAACACAACTTGATTAATGAAAAATAAATTGAATAAATAACAACTTGATTAATGAAAAGAAAAACACTTAAGAGTTTTAGAAGTTTAAAGGAGTAAACTTCCCTGAAATTGTAGCCATTTCATTATCAAAAGGTATTTTGAGAACTATTTCCATTTTTCTCAATGCCATGCCTTCTTCCCAACCTACCCCTTTAAAGTTTGCTTCTCATCTACAAAAAGATCAAGGACTTTTAAGACTTTATGTGTGCCCATGTGTATCTACGTATGTATACATGTATGTGTCTGTGTGTATATTAATATACATAAACATATTTTTTTCATCACTCAACATTATCAATTTAATCTGAACAGAAAAGTCATAAAGATGCTATCAAGCTTGAGAAGGTGGATTTTACAACTAAATGAATATCTGATAGGAAATTATTAAGATATATTGCTAAGTAGGACCAAAATTCTATTTGGAATGTCAATTTCAGTAATAACTAAAGTGTCAGCTGTTAACAACTGTTTTGGTTTCTTGAGAGTTGGGAGCCCTAAAATTAACCCTGGATTTAGAATGTATTTCAAAAATACTGTGGGCAAAACTCTACATTGTGATAAATAACATAAATAAAATGGAAGATAACTTTATACAATACATGTGCATTTTTGTTACTGATGCAGCAAACTTTTATGCTGAAAAACCTCTGGTTTTGTAAGATGGGTCAGTGTGAATTGTGAAAATACACAGTGTGAAAAGTTTCCAGGCTTTGAGACTCCACACAGCACAAGTTCTATGTTAGCAAATTGCATTTCAGCACTGGGGCCAAAATTTGCCCCTTAAGCACTACAGTTCAAAAAGAGTTAGAAAGAATGAATCTGAAAACAATTAAAGAACCAAAATTTAATTTCTGCATTCCACAGTTTATTTCTGGAAACTTGGAATCTATTCAGTGAACCTCAAGTATTTTAAAAACAAAAATGAAGAACCGAATTAGATGCAAATAAAACAGCTAATAGAACAGAAGTTTAAATATTTCTATTTTAAAACATGAAGTTTTTCACACATTCCAAATATTTTTGTCCTTTTAGACTGAGACTTCTTTGCTCAGCAAATGTTTAGGTAAACATTTTTGTATAGACTACAACAAAATGAAAACCTAAATACAATTAGAGAGTATTTGTCCAACATCCTTAATACTATTATTAAGTCCAACTGTCCACTTGTTAAATAGTCAGAAATTAAAATTTTATGTGTATTCAATTAAAAAAAATCGACCTATATCACTTTAGAATATTTAAAATTATTGCAGGAACTGATATTGGGAAAAAAAAATTGTAATCACAATGGATTATGGAAAATATCATCACAGTTCAAAAGCGGAATATTGTGTACCTGCTTTCATCAGACAGTCAGGTTCTGCACAGTTTTTGACAAAAATTCTTTCCAAGAAGTGGGAGTAATTGTTTTGGAGAACATCTTCCTCCCATGACTTACAGTATATACAACTTCCGTGCTCATAGACACACATGTGCATACAAAAGCAATTCAAAAGTAGCTGAAAACAGCTGATACTTAAACCAAGCTGAAGTTATAGGGAGCTCTTCTACTAATACAAAATAGGTCTCGAATACTTCATAAGTATAGTAAAAGGAGGACTGAATCTGAAGGTCCTTGCTTGCCATAGCATATTGCAGTTTTCTGATTCCATGTCCTGTAGGAATATGGTTTTGATTTTGCTATTAATCACTGTGGCCAACACATATTTCTCTCTGTTAAACACTTAATATATTGTGAAATATAAAAGGCAGTTTAAGATTAATGGCTCTCAATTATATTCCAGTTCGGCCTCTTCTGGCTTTAAAATCAATCATGTTTGCTAACCATGGGCTATACGCATTGCATTTGATAAATTAAAGTGCAAGATGATTGAAGATACAGTTGTTGTTCAGTGGAAAGTTAGATAACTTATTTGCAGAATTCATTATTTGAAGATGCTGCCTTTTATTCACATTACGCATTTTTATGCAGCTTTTATCAATTCCCATGGACATTCACACACAGAATACGAATGGCAGGATTATCTGCCAGCTTGATATTCTTAACACTGATCCAGCTTCACATCAGTCGATTTGTCAGGACATTCTTAGTTTAACAATATGAACGTACTATTCAGTGCCACGTTCAATTTTCTTTTATTTTCTATTTTTTCCCCCAAAATAAAAGTATATTCAATCTCAATATTGCAAATAGAGCTTTCCTAAAATGCCCCCAAAACTTTATTCTCTCCTAACAGTAGGGTTGCATCAAGGTTTTCATAAGTTTCTCAGAGTCTGAAAATGACTCATATTAACTGTCCTTGTTGCTGCCCCCTCAGGAAAAGATCTCTACAGACTTACAATGAAAATCTTGCAAAATTCCAACCCAGGAGCCATACTAAAAAGTGATGACTGGCACTGCGCCCACTAGGGACAACATGCCAACTGGAGTAGGATGCAGTCCAGCTATTCAGTTTCCTATGATGTGCATGCATGTGCCAAGAATTCAGAGTGAGAGTAAAATCATGTTCTTGCCTTTCTTTTCTTATATCAGCAGTGATTCCAAATAAAAACCTTAGTGCAAAGGCCAAGATGTCTTATAAACAGCACCTCTTTTTATACTATTCATCAACAAGATTAACCAATTCCTGTTATATATTTCATAAGCTAAGAAAATGTTAGATGCATTTTGTTTCAAAGACGTATCAAAATATCTCTCTTCTGTATTCAAAAATACATTTTGAAAAGAAAACCACCATATTATGAAGAAAATGAAAATAATATATTAGCTATTGCCACACTTCCAGGCATGAATGTCAATAAAACCTCTAAGCTTCACATAGAATTATAGCCAGTATTTCAAAACTAGCCACAACAGCAAATTCCTCTTGTTCAGAATTTTGAAGCTAACCAGAAGCCTTGTATGATAGTTCTAATGAGTCACCTATAAAGACCTAGATGAAAGTTAAACAGACTACCCAACTGCTCTAAAAAAATTACTTACAAGGAACTCAACCCCATATTGTAGAAGTGGCCCAGTCACAAAATCCTTGTGTGCAACAGGAGTCAAGAACAGGATATAACAGTTATGCCTGAAAGTTTTTGAAAGCACCTTGGACCTCAAATTTGCATGTGAAGAACAATCCAAGAAAAATGCATGAAAAGAGTAATGGTTCACACTGTACAAGTAGCTACAGTAGTTTAGGAGGGAACATAAGAAAAACATTACTTACATATTTGTCATCTGATCCACTGGCTATAAACCGCCCACAAGGAGATACTGCAATTCCACATGGATGGCAGCGGCTAATGTGTCCTTCAAAACGACGTTCACACCTTCAAAGAAATTTCAGGAAGTCTTACTAATGTAAGACACTTACACTCTTATTCTACCACTTTTCATACAGTTTTATACTACCATTTTTCATACAATTTTTTGAAATCTCATTCATGTTTCTTAGTCTAGGGATACACCAAGTCAAATTTACAAATTAAGTTTTTAATATCTCTGCGGGAAGATTTTCACAATCGCTAAAAATAAAATGAACACATAAAACTATTGTGAACCCCACCCATGTCTAAGTTTCAGACTTGCTTAGTTTACAAAGATAGAGTATTACTATTTAGAAATTAGGGGCTGCAGTGCCTATCATTAAGCTATTCCTAGTTAGCCATTTCAGCAGAAAAAAAAGCAGGAAAATCCCAAACATCCTTGCATTCAGAGGTAGGTGTTATGAAAGCCAACCAGCTCTGCAAAGCTTTGAAATCTCCCTCAAGCATTTCCCACCCAGTCAAGAATTGGTGGATCCCTCCAGAACTTCCCACGCAATCAAGATCCAGTACACAGAATCCAAATATAAATAATTATTGCTTGCTCCTGTTATTCACAAATCTGAATATCTAATCTCTGCTGCTGTGTTTACATTCCTACACCACACACTAATTTACAGGATCTTCTAAATTCAAGAAAGGCAATACGTCATTGAGATTCTACACTGATAAATCTAACCACCTACAAAAATAACTGCAGATAACTTGTTAGTTATCTGTGCTAATATAGCCTAAATTAACTTCATTTAAATTTAACAGAAGTAATTCACTGCCCACTTTTAAAGTTAATACTTTATTAACACTGTGGAACAGGGTTTTTGATAGCTGAGGATATTTAGCAACTTCTTAACGATCTGAAGATTAACATCCATCTGACAAGCAACAGAATGGCTGTAAAGAATTATGATATTTTAGTAGTTATTACACAGCGAAAGAGGAAAAAAGTGATATTTAGAAATTTAAAATTCCATTTTAAAAATCAATCTTATATATTATTATATGCATGTAAAGTTCAGTTTCCACCCCATGATTCTTTGTAAATGTCTTAGTAGTTATTACACAGCGAAAGACGAAAAAAGCGATATTTAGAAATTTAAAATTCCACTTTAAAAATCATTCTTATATATTATTATATGCATGTTCAATTTCCACCCCATGATTCTTTGTAAATGTGTGCCTCATTTCAGAGCTTTATTTTTATATCCACAGCAAGGTGTTATTTCACTACAGACTTTTATAAAACCTCTTTGCCTTTTTCTTAGGGTTGCTACCATATTGCCTTTCTTCATACAAATCAAATGCATATGCTTCACTATTATACAGCTATCGCACATTCTTCTGATTATTACATGCGCTGGGTCCTGGAACAAATTTGAAAGAGTGACATCTCTGGCCAGCTCCTGTAGCACACGCTCTTC